GACCGCCGTCGCCGCCCCCGTCGCCGCTGGCTACGGCGTCGCCGGCGTCATCGTCGGACGGTCGTCGTCGGACGGCCGTCGCCATGGGGGCAACGGGTTGTGATGGAAGCGGGCCCTGAGGTTTGTCGCCGTTTTCGGGCTCTCGGGGCCTTCCACGGGCACCGGGGTAGTCAGAGACCGGCTCAGGATGAAGATCTCGTCCTGGGGGAAGGTCCCGGGGTCCAGGACCCGTTTCCCTCGGGACCCGCTCCCCCCACAGCTTTTCGCTCCATTTTGGAGCCACTGGGGCTCTCTGGGCCTCGTGTGTGGTGCTCTGGAGGCCAGATCTTGTCGACAGCCTTGGGCCAGAGACATTTCTGGCTACTCCAGAGCTGGGGGGGAAATGGTTTTATAATGATGAGGAAGAGGAAGAAGAGGAGGAGGAGGTGGAGGAGGAAGAGGAGGAAGACGAGGAGGATGATGATGAAGTGGAGGAAGAGAAGGAGGAGGAGGAGGAGGAGGAGGAGGAGGAGGAGGAGGAGGAGGAGGGGGAGGAGGAGGAGAGGAGGAGGAGGAGGAGGTGCGATGTGGGGATGGAAGAAGGAGGGAGAGGAGGGGGGAGGGGGGAGAGGGGGAGCAGGGATTGGGGAGGAGGGTGGAGGAGGAAAACGAGAAGGGGAAGAGGGAGGGGGTGGTGACGATGAGGGCGGAGGGGGGAGGACGCAGGAGGCAGGAGTGAGGATGCAGGAGGCCAGGAGGAGGAGGAGGAGGAGGAGGAGGAGGAGGAGGAGGAGGGAGCAAGGAAGCAGGGGCGGGGATGGATGTCGGAGCACATGGGACGCCTTCCTTCTGTCGCCGGTGCTCCTCCTCCCTCTGAGCCCCCCTGCGCCCTTCTAGCTCCTCCCCCCCTCCACTTCATCCTCTGCCTCATGTGCCCTCGTACACAGCCAGCACGCCAGAGATGTGGACCCGCTCGGGCTCAGGAGGGGCTCCGGTTCCCGGGCCGCGGCTCAGATCTGGGTCGGCCGGCTCGGTTTTGCCGACGCTCGGCGCAGCCAGAGCAGCCCTTCCGCCCCTTCTCCAGCGCTTACGACGCTTGGCTCGAGCCCCCTGCCCCTCAGCAAGGAAGCAGGACCCCGCCCCCCCCCCCCCGTGCAGCAGACCGCGCCCGCGCCGCGGCCCGGGCGCCGGCATGCTGCGGCGATGGCTGGCCGCCGCGGCGGCCGCCGCGCGGGCGGCGCGCGGCGACGAGCTCGGGGGCCTGCCAGCGGCGCGGCGCCCTCGGGTGCCCGACCTGAGCAGCCCGCAGATCGCGGAGAGCTGGGCGCGGCGCCCCAAGCAGCCGGGGGCGCCGCTGGCGCGATTCCTCGCGGCGCCGCGGCGCCACCTGGCGTCCGCGCTGGAGCACTTCGGCCTGGGCCCCGGCGACCTCTTCCTGGACCTGGGCGCCGGCGACGGCCGCTGGGTGCTCGCCGCCGTGGAGCGCTGGAACTGCAGCGCGATCGGCCTCGAGCTCAACGCAACGCTGGTCGAGGCGGCGGCGTCGGAGGCGGCGCGCCTGGGCCTGCAGAGGGCGGGGTTCGTCGCCGGAGACGTCTTCGAGACGCTCCCTGGGCTCGGGCCGCAGTTGGGCAGGCTGCGGCTGGCCGCCATCTTCCTGAGCACCAGCGGGATGGAGAGGATCGCGCCCCTGCTCGTGCGGGCCCTGCCGCGGCGGCGGCTGCCCCGCCTGGTGCCGCGGTTCGAGTTCCCCGAGCACCAGCGATTCCAGTTCCGACGCATGCACGACGAGGAGTACGGGCTCCGGGAATACGCTTACGTCCCAGACGAGCCGCAGTGGGACCCGACGAACAAGAGGGGCACGTTCTTGGGCGACTTCGAGCAGCGGCTCGCGCGTGGCTTCTCCGCCGTCTTCGACGCGAACTCCGTGACCGACCGCGAGCTGCACGAATGGATGATGGTGGGTGCGAACTTCACGTCGGAGGAGTTCTGGGTGCTATTCACCAGCCTCGACAACTTTTTCCGGGATGCAGCCAGTGATGGGGCGCTGGCTGCCGTGAGTGTCCATGATGATTATGTGTTCCAGTTTTGCTATCCTCCTCCCCCTCCTGAGTGTGCCCTTCTTGCCGCGGCGAGCTGGCCTCCTAGCGCTCAGATTCTCCCCTCTCTCCCTCTTCCCTGTTGCTGCCTTGCTTGCGACTGCGCTTGCTGCTTCGTCGGGGCCGCCCGCTCGTCCTCCCTCGCCCGCAGGTCGACTGGCCCGCCGCTGCTCCTGGCCGACACCACGGCTACCGCCAACGCTAACGCGTCCAGCGACGCCAGCACTTCCACGACGACTGCCACGACCGCGGCTACGACGGCTACGTCCCATCCCACGACCAAGCCCTCCCCCACTCCCACGCAAACTACCATGCCTTCCAGTACGACTACGACCAGGGCCACGACCATGACCACGACCAGCGACGACTGCACTACCACGTCGACTACCACGTCCGCGTCTACGACGCTTACGACCCATCCCACGACCATAAGTACTCCCACTCCGACGCCAACTACCACGTCCTCGACTACAACCACGACCTGGGCCATAACCACTACCACGACCATGACCACGACCAGCGACGCCTGCACTACCACGCCGGCTACCACGACCGCGGCTACGACGCTCACGACCCATCCCACGACCATGGCTATTCCCACTGCCACGCTAACTACCACGACCTCCACTACGACCACGACCAGGGCCACGACCACGAGCATTCCTACGGCGACCAGGGACGCGATCGCGGCCACTACCACTGCCACGTCCAGCGACGCCAGCAGTACCGCGTCAACTACCACGAGTGCGTCGACGACGGATACGACTCCTCCCACGACCGCGACCACGCCCACTCCCATGCCAACTACCACGACCTCCACTACGATCACGACGGGTGCTTGGCTCGGAGATGTTCTGATTGCTGCGCCCTCCCCGCCACCAGCCTAGGAGGGCCTTCCGCCCTGGATGGCTTGGAAGTGGCTCGTGCTTTGACTCGCGATGCTGCTGAAACGCGGGCTCCGCTGCCGAGATCCACGTCGCGAATGCATTGCTGACTGGCGTAGCGTATAGGCCTCCCGCGTGGAAGGCTGCAGAAGCTGTGACGGGGCTCGAACCTTCATGAAGACGCGAGGTAACATCACATTGCTCTTGAACGAAATGCCACGGACCTGCGGGGACGCAGAAGGGAGTACAGGGAGCACCAGCACAGGCAGGCGTGGGAGTGGACCGATCTGGACTCATGGTCGCCTCGCTGGGTGGGGGGATGTCTTTAAGCCGTGTCGTGAGTTGGCAGACCTGGGATAGGCGGGGTGCTTTACCGCATCCATGTTGAGGATCCCCCCCCTGCAGAGAAACCTTTTAAACAGTCCCTGCAGTTGATGGCGCCTGACCTTCGCTGAACTTTGAGAGATCAGCCCACGGGTCGATCTCCTCGTCCCAACAATCGAGATGGCATCCCGAAGACACCTCAGGATCCTGTGGAACGCCGTCGGGCTCGCAGGTGGCTCTGGGGGCCCCAGAGGGGGGCTGGGCCCTCGGGACCCTACCCGGGGACGGGCTTATCTCCAGGAGAACGACAATAGTACTCGCGCGCTGCCGCCTCGTGCTTTTCGCGGGCGGAAGCCTGACGGACGGCAAACTCTGACCTGGCACGGGCTGCCTTCGAATCTGGATTGCTGCCTCAGGTCGCTTGTTTTTTAGGGGGCTCCACGCTCCAGGCACCTCCAAAACCCTCCGTCCAGGGAGGGGCACGAGCACCGCTGCGGAGGGAGAAGCGGCGACCTTAGGTCGCTTGACTTGGGGCAAGGCGCTCGCGGGGAGGAGGAGGGATCTGTAATGAGAAGCTGCACGCGCCCTGCCCACGCAGCTGCAAGACTACATGCGGCACGTCTTTTCCATTTTGTGGAGACCCAGGTTGTAAGGCGTACCGCGGGCTGAGACGCCACCGCGCAGTCGACGAGGGACGACCCCGAGCCCCCGACAGAGGTGAACCGAGAAAGCGGCTTGATCAGAACTCCACCTGCTTGGGCAACGGAGCCTGAGCGCTGGAGTTCCACACTCAGAACAACACCGGGGATCTGGATGAGCTGCAGTACATCTCCCAGTGCTGTCCCCCGCAGGGCTTCGGGAATGGTGGCCGCAAGAAGGGAGAAGGAGCGAACTGGAACCCTGGAGGCGGAGGACGGAGGGGAGGAAACCATCAAGAAGCGAGGATCTTTCAGAACAGAGCGCCTGGCAGATCTGTTGGCAGGAAGGCGCATGGACCTGCCTGTGGCCGTCTGCTGAGACGATTTCACCACCCTCATTGACTGGCGTGGCTCCCGAGATGGTGAGATGCTGACCTGGCGGTCGAGCCTCCTTCACCAATTGCTCTCATTCTCTTCTGCCAAGACGTGCTCGTGTCTTTCCCAACGTGAGTGCCGCCCGAAGCAAAACGCTGGAACGCTTTCACTTGGCGAGGCCGCTAGATGTACTTCCAGCACTCATTTCCGATGATGGTCACGCGAGTGAATCAGTTCTGGACGATCGAACTCAGACGCGTCCGTGTCACTGAGGCTGGGGTGATGGAGCTCGGTCCCCAACTGTGCCCCCTCTGGGGCTCCTGCAGGCCGCGTGCCCGCCGAAGCTGCCGCGCCGCTGGTGCTGGCCAGCGCTGCTGGTGGCCGCGCGCGCCGCCTCCCCCGCCGCCCATTCTGCTCCGCCCCAAGCGGGCCCTCCTCGACCTCCGCTGCGATCCCCGCAAGGTCCGAGGCTCTCGGCCTCAACGATAACAACGATCACAACGATCACAACGATCACAACGATAACAACGATAACAACGATAACAACGATCACAACGATCACAACGATCACAACGATAACAAGGATAACAACGATGACAACGATCACAACGATCACAACGATAACAACGATAACAACGATAACAACGATAACAACGATCAACGATAACAACGATAACAACGATAACAACGATCAACGATAA